GGTCTTCGGAGGGTCTGTGTGGACACAATGGGCCGAATCGCCTGCTTCCACACTGTAGGAGGAGAAAATTGAGAGGTGACTCAATTGAAGTGTAAAAAGATCCTGAATGGTCTTGACAAGATGTATGTGGACAGAATGATTCCACTTGAGAATAAGTCTGGAATGTGAAGCCCTCCTTTAAAATTAGGGATAGCCCTTTCAGGACAGGGAGGAGGCAGCATGTTTTTAGGGTTGTATGACTTTGGAATTCTCTCTACCTTGAAGCAGTGGAAGAAGAATCATTGAATATTTTGAACACAGGTCTCCAGTCTCGTTACACCAGATAATCAGAAATGGGATATGTGAGCATGTGGAATTCAAAACACAAACAGATCTGTCTTGATCTTATTGAATGGTGGGACAGACTGGATGGACCATTGGTTTACTTCTCTGAATTCGTGTGTTGTGTTTCTATGAGGTCCAGAGGGGCATTGTTTCTAATTGTATAAGAATCACATTAAGAATTTTAAAAGCGAATTTCCTTCCACTGAATGTTAGAGAATCAGAAGGATGTCGAACATAAATGAACTGAGATTCTAAACCATGTCAGATATATATGGTTCACTAACTCAAATTAGTTTGATATGATGTTCATGCACAAATTCCTTTTCCTCATGCTAGGTATCAAGTGCTAAAGAAAATCGTAATGGAGCTGAATCCAAAGTGGATGAAAACAAATCTTCTGATACTGGTTAGTGCTTAGGATTTGTTTTTTTTTTCTGTTCATTTGGAAATTGGCAAACTAGATCCACAGTTGGTGGAGTTGCAGGAAGCAGACGGCAATGCTTGAAGTAGAGGTGGCTCAGTGGTTAGCACTGCTGCCTCACAGTGCCAGGAACACAGGTTCAATTCCACTCTCAGACAACTGTCGGTGTGGAGTTTGCACATTCCCCTTGTGTCTGCGTGGGTTTCCTCTAGGTGCTCCGGTTTCCTTCCACTGTCCAAAGATGTGCAGACTAGGTGGATTGGCTGTGCTAAATTGCCCGTAGTGTTCCGGGAATGTGTTGATTTGGTGGGTTATAGAGAGATGGTTCTGGGTGGGATGTCCGAGGGTCGGTGTGGACTTGTTGGGCACAAGGGCCTGTTTCCGCACTGTAGGGATTCTATGATCTGTTTTTCCAACTGGAAGTCTGTGCCCAGTGGAATCCTACATGGTCAGTGTTAGGGCCCTTGCTGTTTTTGGTTTATATAAATGAGTTTTACATTAAAAAAAGTTTATATATGAACTTGTAGTTCCAACTTGTCATGATAACAGTGTACTATGGTGTCTCCCTGTTGGCCCTGATAACTGAATCCTGGAGGGACTTTTAAGAGCTTTATACAATGATCAAATATTTTGAATAGATGTACATTCTGTCTGTGCAAATGTATTTTGAGCTAGCCTTGAGACAAATTGGCATACTTAAAACATGATTAGGGATGTAAATGTGTGGCTGAAAGATTAGTATGGGAGAAGTGGGTTTCAGTTCATGGGACACTGTCACCACTATTGGGTAAGAAAGATCTGTTCGGTTATGGAGAACGTTTGAGCCGTGCTGGGACTAGTGTCATAGTGAATCGTACTATTAGCATTGTCGATAGAGCTTTAAATTAATAAACGATGGTATTAGTGAAGTGGTGAGTTGTGATGTAGTGAGAGAGACCCTGATGTGGAATCATGTTGGATGAAAGGCATGGGTGGGAGTCATCTATAGGCCCCTGAAGAGTTGTCTCACACTGGGACATGTAGAAAAGTTACAGCTCATGCACTTTGGAAGGAAAGATCAAGAGGCATATTATTTAAATGGAGCAAGACACTAAAAAAATGCATCACTGAGGGATATGGATGTTATGTATAAAGCAGAAAGCTAGCATGCAGGTACATTGTGATTAAGACAACAAATGATATTTTGGCCTTTCATGCTAGGGGTTGGAGTTTAAAAAGAGGGAAACCTAACAACTGTACAGGGTGTTGGTGAGGCCACACACACAACACTGTACAGTTTTGTCCTTGTCTTGAACAAAGGATATACTGGGATTGGGGGCAGTTCAAATGCAACTCACTGCACTGCTTCTTGTGTTGGAGTTGACTTGAGCAGGGATAGCTTAACAATTTAGGCCTTTTATTGATTAGAGTTTAGAAGAATGAGGAGCGATCTTTTTGAAACATAAAAGATTGAGGAGATTTGACAGGGTAAATGTTGAGGAATCTCAAACTAGGGGACATAATTGTAGAACAAAAGGGACATTTATTTAAAACTGACATGAAGGAATTTCTTCTGAGGGTAGCGAATAGCTGGAATTCTCTACCCTGGAGAGTTGAGAGATCACTGGAAGTATTGAAGTAGATAGTTTTTTTTTTGAAATCTTGAGGAGTTAAGGACGGAGACAGATTGGCTGTGTCTTATGCAATAGCAAGGTGGCTTCATGAGACTGCCAGAGTCACTTCCTCTTGATTGTGTACCACATGCTAACACCTCTGTGGAATAGTACATAGCTAGAGATAGTCTTGGAGAAATCTGTGACATTGACCAAAAAGGTATGTATTTATGACTGCTGTGCTGTTGCTTGGCTAGGCTGTAGGCTTACTCTCAAGTTTCCAGATGTTAGTGGGGTGATTGAATAGGTTTGCCTTTGTTGTGTTTGATGTCTAGCATTGCCTGCTGATCTATCTAGCTTAAGATTTTCTAATCAACCAGTTCAGAGATGTTACTATATACCTCTGGAGCATGGGGCTTGAACCTTGACATCCTGACCGAGAGATCCAGACACTACCACTGCACCACAAGAGCCCCTAAAGGTTAACATTTTGGTACATATTTTCTAATCAGCCACCTCAGATGTTATTGCGCACCTCTGGAGCAGATGGGACTTGAACCGTGACTTCCTGGCTTAGATATAAGGACATTAGCAGTGCACCCAAGAGTCCTCATCTCGTTTAAGTGATGTCCAGATGTGTTATAGCACACCTCTGGGAGCAGGTGAAACTTGAACTCGGGTCTTTGGACTCTCACTACCTCTGTACTGAGAGAAATCACTAATCTGCTTTTTTATTATCCTATTTGCTAATCAATCTGTTGAAAGATGTTATTACATGCCTCTGGAATAGGTGAGACTTGAACCTGGGCCTTATAATCTAGACACTAACATTGGGCTACAAGAGGGCCTTTTCATCTGGTTTGAAAGTATTTTTAATCAACTTGTTCAGAGCATCTATCACCAACCTCTGGAGCAGGTGGGACTTGAACCTGAGCCTCCTCGTCCAGGATAAGGACACTGTCACTGCACTACAAGAGTGCCCCCTCCTTTGATTTAAGTCAGTTATGTCGTGATTAGGTACAGCTTTGTTGCTTGATATTGTCGGGAATTAGATGCCAGACTGGTTTATTTTGCTATAGTTTCTTTTTTGCTTTGCTTTATTTTTCCTAAAGATGATGTTAAATTAGATGGATATTTATGACAAGCCAGTCTTTGTATGATTAAATCTAAAATAAAAAGCTAGTAACAGTTATAATTAATTATTTGAATTTAATGTACTCCACTGCATTTGAATTCACATCGCGTTCATACTGAGCCAAAACTTTAACTCCAAGGTCTTGATTTTTGATAAATAGGGCTTGTGCACAGCTGAACATTAAAAAGAAATTCAATGGGACTGTATACTGGGGGGTGGAGGAAAGTAGATGTTACATAACAGCTAATTTTGATGGATCATTGGTTATATCACATTGAACATTATAATAATCAAGACTGTTGAGCTAATGTTACTGGTCTAGTAATGTCACTTATAAAAGTTTTGGTCCAAACCTTTGTTTACATCATTGTTCAATACAGCACTTGATACTTTTATACGAAAGTTAAAGTTACAGTCTGCTTGGATTTCCATCCTCCGTCTTGCATTAAAAAGCTCCATTTTGTTTGTGGTTTACTTGCAGGAAAGCAACTGATGCAGTACAATATGTACCCTGTGCTAACTTTCTTGGATGGAAATGCATCCTCTTTATTGGAAAAGGAGAACACTACTTCAGGCCTTAAGTGTACATGTGAAGACAATCACCTACAGAAAAATGAAAATACAGAAAAAGTAGAACGGGAAAATAAGAAGAAAACCAGTCAACTTTTTAAATTAGAACCTTTAACAGAAGAAGAAGCAAGAGAAGAAACACTGTTTTACCTTTGTGAATTGACTCCCTCTAATAGTCTAGATGGTGAAAATTCTTTACTGGACAGTTAGCCAATAAGTTTAACTATTGTTTATTCAACATTCAGCTAAAGACTAACTTAACTTGAAACATTTAATTTATACTGTAACATTGGTTTGTGTAGTTAGTGTCCTGTATTGTGTTTCATGTAAATATGTTGTAATCAATTTTTGCTAATATATATAAAGATCTTGTTCCCTGTACTCTTAAATTCATATCAGAAATGCAGCTTTGTGTAAGTTTAATTTTTTTTGTACTATTGCTGTGACATTACATGGCATTGTTTTATGTTGTTGCTTAAAGCAGCGATGTGTGAAATACCTTGCAATTTCGTATTCTGCAAATATCATTTGCCCCAAACCCAGCTTGGGACAACTGAATGCACCATTCTACATTCCGTGACCATTTAAAAAAAAAACTATGATCCGATTTTTGGATTAAGCTTGGGTGTTGTTCAGTGATGTGTTATTGGTGATATAACCAGATTTATTTGCAACCATTTTTCAAGTGTATATATTACATCTCAACGGACAAAATATACCTTGCAATTCTTCGAGGTTGTTGGTCTGTGATGCAAGGAGCTTAAAGTTTAGTACCTTCATTTCATTACTAGAGTGCTACATTAAGACTTGTGCTTCACTATGCAAATGTACTTCAATTTCACAATATGCATGGTAGAATGAATTAATTTGGTCCTACCTTGGCTTACTCCTGATAGGTGTGAGAGTTGATATAGTGCTATACTGCAAAGTGTGGTATCAATAAGAAATATACATTTGCTTTGTCTGACGAAAATTTAATCATGTAAATAAGTGGAAAACAACATCTTTAAAAGGAAAACGATTAAGCAGAAAATAGATTAATAAAAGTTTGTGGCATATTTCTTTCAGAATTAGGCATATGATACCTTCCATCATTAATACTGAATTTTTAAAGTCAAGGCAGTAGGGAAGAATGTTTCCAAACAATCATTTTACTAAGGCCTCAAAAGGTCAATAACTTGTAGATTAGGCCTTTAAAATATAAGCAGTAACTATACATCTCAGTTATGATTGACAGCAAGGATAGCTCAGTTACCATTATGCATGCAAAAATAACAGTGCTTTAAAAGACAAAGACAATTGGGCAATAAACTACATTCAGTTCCTATACTTGAAGATACCATTATCCTATGCCAATCAGTATCAATTGTAAATTTATACTTAAGCTAACCAGCCTAGGTCAAATGATCAGTGTAGACATTAGATATTCATTCAGTACCGTTTATAACTATGAATCTGCAAGATAATTTATGCTGTTTACAATGACGTCCACAACAGAATTCACCCAGTAGCTGTGTCAACTTCAAGTTAGGTTAAAGCATGGTTAGTCAAATATCAGTAGTATTAACTGACTTAACTCACATTTACATTTTGTGCACACTAAAAGCAATTCCTACACAACCATTTTACACAATGTTATCTATACAAAGCCTTAGCCTAGACACCAATAAGCAAAGCTAAAAACAAAAGACCAATCACACATTTCAAGACATTGTTTTTCTTAGAACAAATAAGTTGCCTTTTCCACTTCTAAAGAAATGTGGGCACATTTAATTTTTGAGATTGTCACACATTCAACAATCTACAAATCATCAAATATTTTACTTCAGTAATCAGCATTTAATGTGCAATTCAGCAAAAAAACATCTTTTAACATTTAGTCCAATTATGCAATAAAATGGAGAGGAAATAAATACCACATGGTAGAACACACAATTAGTTATTTAACACTGCATTTAGATTTCAGTTGCATAAACCCAGGCATATCAACAGAAACATTAACAGATAGTTCTTCAGTTTATGCTTCAGTCAAAATCACGAGTTGTCAGCACAAGTGGAGCAACCAGGGTCCACCCATATAGCATGATGCAGATCCAACTAGAAGAAATCTTCACCCAAACTGACGGCCATTTACTTGTCATTATTTCATACGAGGAATCAGGGCTGAGAATGGAAAGAAAACAATATTTGTTCCTTACATATTCGTTTTCTAAATAATGCCATACTTTAAAATTAAATATCCTTCATAATATCACTCTAGTTACTTACCCCATTGCATCCTTAATGGGTTTGGCAACAGTTGCAAACGCTCCACTACTTTGGCAAGATTGCTTTCATAGGATCAATTTTCTAACTTGTTCTCCCCAGGACTCCTTGGTCCTCGCTTCAGAAGGGCACGTATTAAAAATTCTAAGCTTTCCAAGTATCAATCTTTAGAATACTTTAACAGGATACGCTGGATTTTCTGACTTGAGCCCTCAGTGGCTAAGGTTTCCCACCATGAGTACAAAAGCAGTGAATTTCATGTAAACTCAAATGGTGGGAATTCTCATGCTGATCAAACACAAGAGCAGCATTATTCCTAAATTTAATTCTCGCCCAAAATCCACATATGCATACTTTTTGAGGGAATGCTAGACGAGACAAGTCCATGGCACAAGCAGCTGTTCATCTCCACAGGGTCAGGGTGGACTGAGAGAAAAAGGAGAGCAATAGCGATAGGGTATTCTACCATAAAGGTAACACATTAATGCTTCTATGGCCACAGACATGACACCAGGATAGTACATCGCTTCCCTGACGCCAGGGGCAAGGATGTAACTGAGTGGCCGCAGGACATACAGAATGGCAAGGGAGAACAGCTAGAGGTGGTCAAGGCTGGGAGTAGGACAACCAAGGGTGTTTAATATTTAAGACAGGGAAAAAGCATAAGGAAGTAGGGTGGTGTTGCTAGTGAAATATGAATTTGTTCAAATAGTGAGAAAGGACATTGAGTGAGAAAATCTTGACGTACAATCAGACAAGATGGAGCAAAGAGGCAACAAAGGGCAGAAAACAATCGGAATTATTTATAAACTTCCAAATCAGTAGTGGTCAGGTTGGTGTTGGTATTAAACAGGAAATCAGAGATACATGCAAAAACACTGAACAAGTCAGATTTATTCATCTTCCAAATTGTATTAGTTGAGGTTGGTTGGCTCGCCGAGCTGTTTTCTTGTTTCGCAGACGTTTCATTACCATGCTGGGTAACAGCCTCCAATGAAGCGTCGGTGTATTTTCCCGCCTGGTTTTTAAACTCTTTTTAAACTTACAAACAACACCCTCACCAGAATAAAATTCACCAGCGAGGAGGAGAAGAACAAACAGCTCCCATTCCTGGACGTCACGGTAGAGCGCAAGACAAATGGGGAACTGCAAATGAAAGTACACCGAAAAGCCACACACACAGACCAGGTACTGAACTTCAACAGTAACCATCTCAGCACACACAAACAAAGCTGCGTGCGAACACTATTTAAAAGGGCAACAACACACTGCAGCAACACGGAACTATGCCAAGAGGAAGAAGAGTACCTCTTCCAGGTTTTCAAGGATAATGGAAATCCAAAGAACTGGGTCAGAAGATGCCTACACGAACAGCATCAGAAAGAGACTACACGGCCCGACACACTCATCACACTATCCTATATCGGAAACACGTCAGAACTCACCACAAGACTCCTACGACCGCTGGGCATCAGAGTGGCACACAAGCCCACGTCAACCCATGACAACTGCTCACCCGAACTAAAGACCCACTCTCCACCATGGACAGGACCAATGTCATCTACAAGATCCCCTGCAGAGACTGCGAGAAACACTACATCGGACAAACAGGAAGGAAACTAACAACAAGAGTACAGGAACACCAACTGGCTACAAAAAGACACGACCAATACTCACTCATTCTCAATCCACATGGACAAGGAGAACCATGACTTCGACTGGGACAACACCAAGATCCTGGGACAGGCTAGGCAGAGACAGGCACGAGAATTCCTAGAAGCCTGGCACTCCACGAAGCATGCTATTAATAAACACATAGAACTCGACCCCATATACATTCCACTACGAAGGAAAACCGGAAGTGAGGCAATCCATCTCAACGGACCCCAGAGTTTAAAAACGAGGCGGGAAAACACACCGACGTTTCATCGGAAGCTGCACTGAGGATTTTACCCAGCATGGTAACAAAACGTCTGCGAAACAAGAAACCAGCTCGGCGAGCCAACCAACCTCAACAGCCACAACCCGAGCTACAAATCTACACCAAAACCTTAGAAATAGCAATATTATTAGCAATAATACTGCGGCAGATAAATAAGTCCTAACTTGTGTTCAAGATTTTTTTAAAATAGTATGCTGAGGAACCAAGTAGGGTACTGGCTATCCTAGGTTTTGTTTTGTACAATGAAATGGGGTTATAAATAATCTTGTGAGAAGTCCCTTTTACAAACAAAAAAGATGTGAGAATTTTTCATTGGGATAGAATTACGGAGTTATTCTAACACAGAACACAGGATCAGACCCTTTGACCCACCATTTCTGTGGTGACCACGATACCATTCTAAACTAATCCCATCTGCCTGCACATGGTCAATATCGTCCTATTCCCTGCCAGTTCATATGGGGTCTGTCTAAATGCCTCTCAAATGTTGTATTCATATCTACTTCTATCACCTTCCCTGGGAGCAGGTTCAAGGTACTTACCACCCTGTGTAAAAAACTTTCCTCACACATCTGTCTTGAACTTTTCCCCTCTCACCTTAAACTTATGCCCCCTTGTGTTTCTTACACTATTCCTCCAAACTCACCTCATTAACTAGATATCATGCCCCAACGTACCCCTCTCATCTGTTGTGAGCCCAAATCTCTGTCCCATCATATGCGGAAGAACTTAACAATTGTGGGATATCCTGGAATACCCAGTCTTGGCACCATATTTATACGACCATTCTGCACCCAGTAAAATGATGGCAATTCCCTGGTGCCCTGCACATTGAGTCACTTGGCCCAGACAAGGCGGATTAAGGGTAAATTGGCATCTGTTTCATGAACTTTAACCTAGAGGTCCTGGTGGACGAGATCGTACAGAGGGGGGATAGTGTCTTCCCACCACAGGGCTGGCAGAGACAGCCATGACACCAGATCTTGCCAGTTTGATCCGAGGTTGACACCCAGGTCAGTGCAGACTCAACCATCCGGAGAAACCCAGCAGTGTTGGAAGGATGTGTTCGCCAATGATTGTACAATGTTCAGCACCATTTGCAACTGCTCAGATACTGAAGCAAGAGCTGGACAATATCCAGGCTCAGACTGACTGGTGGCAAGAAACATTCATGCCACACAAATGCCAGGTAATGACCACCTCCAACTAAAGACTTACCTAACCACCACTCTGACACTCAACAGCAGTGAAGCCACCACCAGCACCACCACTGGGGCCACTAAAACCAGAAACTCAACTGGACCCTCCACACAAACACAGTAACTACAAGAGCAGGTCAGAGACCAGGAATACTTTGGCAAGCAACCTACTTCGCAACTCCCCAAAGCACGCTCGAAAGGCACAAGTCAGGAATTTGGTGGAATGTTCCCCATTTGCTCAAATGAGTGGAGCGCCAACAACACTCAAGAAGATTGACACCATCCCGGACAAAGCAGCCCGTTTGATTGGCACCACATCCACAAGCTTCCACTCCCTCCACCACCAATGCTCAGTAGCAGCAGCATGTTCCAGCCACAAAATGCACTCCAGAAACACACCAAAGATCCCTAGACAGCATCGTCCAAACCCACAACCACTCCCATCCAAAAGGACAAGGGCAGCAGAAATGTGGGAATTGGCGATAATATAATACCATGGAAAGTGAATTGTTTAGCAAAGAGGATCCTGTTTTCGGTGTGGAAGATGATGATTTGTGGGGTCCCACTGGGATCAGTGTTACTATCTATGTATGTATATAAATATCAATAATTTGAATGAGAGAATCAAATATAATACTTTCAAATATAGGCACAAAATTAGGCAAAATTGGAAGTGGTGAGGAGGAATTAAAGAGGTGTCAAGGCAATTTTGACAAGTTGAGCAAGTTGGCAAATGCATGATAGATGCAGTGTAATGTGAATCATAGGTATCCCACCAGAGATAGGAGCAATGAAATGCTACCGCAGCAGTACGGTGAATTAGTGTGACCATATCTGATATATTGTGTGCAGTTTTGGTCTACTCACTAAAGAAAAGACATATTTGTAACAGAGAGTGCAATAAAGGTTCACCCAGACAGATTGCTCGATGGCAGGTTTGTCAGGAAACAGTGGATCAACTAGGCTGAGAGGGGATCACATTAATATGTAAAATTCTGACATGGCTGTCCATGGCTGGACAGAGTGGTTGTAGGATGATCTTTCATCTGGCCAGGGGTATTTGGAACAAGGAGTAACAGTCTCCGGCTATTGGATTGGCTATTTTGGACTGAAATGAAGAGAAATTTCTTCACTCAGAGGGTGGTGAACCTGTGGAATTCACTATCACATAAGGCTGTGAAGACCAAATTACTGAATACGTTTAAGAAAGAAATAGACTTTGAGAGACTAAAGGCATTAAGCCGTATTGGGAGAGAGCACGGGTATGGGGTTGAGATATACAATCAGCCACGGTCATGTTGAAAGACGGAAAGGACTTGATACATAAACTAAGATCAAACCTGAGAATTCCTTCATTGATATTGCGTAGTTCCACAATGGACAGCAAATTTAATATGAGGGGAATGACACATTCTTCGCGCAACAAAACATGCAAATGCGAAAATTATATTTAAGTGAAGATACAATGCCTGCAATTTCTAATTTTTTGGTGTCAAAAGAGTTATGATTCTATTTCTTTTTAATATTATATCAATTGCTGTAACATTGCTGTTTAGTGATAATATGCATCTAAAAATATGATTCAAATATGTACATGGCTCATGCTTTGATAGAAAACAAGCAACATACAGAACAAATAACTACCATTTTACAGTACTGCTCTGTCAGCAGTAAAGATGTTTGACTTTAATTGCTTACATACCTATACCAGTTGGTCAGCGTCATCATGATATAAAGAGAAGCCAAAAACAACATGAAGTGAAAGAAGGAATAACTGTAGGTGACACCATCTTTCTCATTGTCTTCTGCACGATGTGCATTGTTACCATCTTCCAAGGAACCATCACTTCGACCAACTCCTTCATCTATCAGTGTAGATTCATCACTGGTTAGGGTCAGTTTGTTGACCTGGCTATTGTTTGAGGTCCGGATGCTGTAGGGGAAAGAAATTAAATCATGTTACGGGATCATATAAAACGAACATACAAGACCACTTAGTATTATCGAGAAGTTACTGAATAGTAAGCTGATCTGTTCAGGTACATTACCCTTAATTTCTCCTTGGTTGTGATTATTTAGAATCATAGAATCATACAGTACATAAGAGGCCCTTCAGCCCATCATATTTGTACCAGCAAAACTATACTACTGCCTATATTAGTCCGACTTTCCCACACCAGGCCCAAAGCCTTGGGTATTATGATACTTCAAGTACCCATCCATGTACTTTTTAAAAGGTTGTGAGGTTGCACACCTCAATTACCCTGCCGTGCAGTGCATTTGAGACACTACAACTCTCTGGTGAAAGTTATTCCTCAAAACCTCTCTAAACCTCCTTCCTTTCACTTTAAAAGTATGCCTCCCACCTTGTCACTGACCCTTCTCATAAAGGGAACAACTGATTTCTATTTACCTTATCCATGCCCCTATAATCTTATGCTACGCCATCAGGTCCCCCCTCAACCTTCTCTGGTCCAAAAAAAAATCCAAGCTAATCCAGCTTCTCGTCATAGCTGAAAAGCTCCATCCCAGGCAACATCCTGGTGAATCTCCTCTGGATCCATTCCAGTGCAATCACATCCTTCCTATGGTGGCCACAACCCTCACAGTAATCCAACTTTACCTAACCAAAGTTCTGTACATCTCCAGTATGACCCCCATGCTCTCATCAACGACATAACTGACAAAGGCAAGCATCCCATAAGCCTTCTTAACTACTCTATTAACCCGTCCTGCCATCTTCAGGGATCTATGAACAAGTGCCCCAAGATCTCTCTGTTTCTCTAAGCTTCACAGTGTCTTGTCATTCATTAAATACTCCCTTGTCTTGTTACTTATTCCAAAGTGCATCTCCCCAGATTTGTCAAGGTTAAATTCCATCTGCCTCTGACCTGCCCATTTGACTAATCCATTTATATCTTCCTGTAACCTAACACCTTCTTCCTCACTGTTAAGCACCCAAAAATGTATCATTATTTAATTTCCATAAAATAGGGAAATATTAACAAAGAATAATATCACTGTCAAGAGACTCATGGCAGCAGTTGATATGAATCAGAAAATCTCCTGCTGATTACCACCTCCTCCCTACTCCCTCTTCAGTTGATGAGACTTCTCCATGTTGAACACCATGTGGAAGAGACACAGATGGTGTCAAGAGTGCAGGATGTAGTCTGAAAACAACCACTCATCACTATTTTCAGCTTCCTATCGTGGGCATGCCAGGCTACTTTTTTGTCCTTATTTTAATTGTGGATTAATTACACTAAGCCAGTGTGGATGTGTTAAAGGCAAATTGTAGTTAATTATCTTAAGGTTCTTGATGAAGTTAGAGAGACCAAATTTGCATTCATGCAATCATTGTTTTTTTTTTAAAACAATGGTGGCAAGCCTATTACATGGCACCTTATTAAATGTCTTTTGGAAGTTCATATAAATTACACAAACCCATTAACCCATCAATCCTTCTTGTATTTGTTCAACTCCTCTTGTCATTTCCTTAAACCCCACTATTCTTCCCCCCAAAATTCATTCTCTAAGGGCCTATGTTCACTGCTGCCTGTCTCTTCCTTTTTATATATTTAAAGACACTTTTACTGTCTGTTTTTGTTTCTTACCAGCTTGCCCTCAGATTATTTTGTCCTTATTACTTTTTGATCATCCTCTGTTGACTTTTAAACATTCCCAATTCTCTAGCTTACCACAAATCTCTGTCACATTTTATGCTTTTTTTCCCAATTTGCTACTGGCCTTAACTTAACGGTCACTTTATCCCTTTCCGAGAATCCTTCTTCCTCACAGGGATATGTCTTTGCTGTCAGTCATGAGCTATTAAACATCGGTCATTGTTCATCAATTGCTTTTTCTGTTAAACTGCTTTCCCTGTCCACTACAGCCAACTCTGCCCTCATTTCTTTGTAATTATTTTAGTTGTTTAAGTTTAGCACAGTTGCTTCTCATACTCAAACTGCATGTTAAATTCCAAGATAGTAGGAACTGCAGATGCTGGAGAATCCGAGACAACAAGGTGCAGGGCTGGATGAACACAGCAGGCCAAGCAGCA